CACGTTTACCATCCGACTCATCACCGCAAAACTGCAGGAACCGTTCGAGACAATCGACACGGATGACACGGTTGTTCCTGCCTTTCGGCGTAAGACCTGGCTCCGCCAGGTGATGGCAGGGGACTGAAACGGCTTGATGGTCTTCACCGTCCTTCGAGTGGCTTTAAATTTTCTCTTGTTGGCGAGGGCGAAGAGGATCATACCCGTGCATTTGAAATTGGATTTTGTTGATTTTACGAGGGTGTAACTGACTAGTTGTTAGTATCAGGTATGATGTTGGATTTTGGGTAGTATTAAATGCTTGAGACTGGTGCTAAGGATTAGAAGCTTGCTGAAGATGAAATGTATTGTAAGATTCTAGAATTACTTATAGGTTGCATAGAAGTGAATAATGGAATTCATTGGATCGGCAGTAACAGAATAATAATCCAAAGGGAACTTCCGCAGCAGCCTAATCTCATAGTACACAAAAATCTTCAATAACCTTTGAATTTTACAATACAATCCTCTTCTTCAATACGAACCTAAATTCGTAAACCTGCAATCATCGGTAAATCACGCGACGCCCGATAAGTGTCATTAATCGCCCAGAAAACGGGGGTATGCGCGCAGAGGAACTCGTCAATTCCAGGGCAATTCTTTCCGAGCGCCTTCAGGGCACAGGGCGCGAAGAATCCACGGAGCAATAAATTACATTCTTCAACTTCCATCGGGAAGGGGGGCCATTAATAAGAGGGATCATCTCCTCCAACGATCCGTCGACATGTTCAATTTCACTCGACGCCCGACGCGCTTGGAGAGGCCTGCGGTCTGCCCTGATTTGCCCGAAAGTTATTATCGCCTCTCATCATATCGGTGTGTACAGCGTGAGATTTACACTTAGGGCGGTTATTCAATGTCGAGGATCCCGAAGGGAGAGCGCCAGGGTCTGGTTCGCAACGAGCCACGCCGCTGGCTCAGCTCCCGACCCCTCCGGTCTCGAGGGTGGCGGCGGCCCCGGCCCCTCCCGAAACAAAACATATTGTCCGAATTTAATTGTGGATGGGGTGCATTAGATATTCATACGTTACATGTTCCACGACGCGTACAACAATATCGACGCACCCGGCGCCGTGCTCGGGGAGTCAGCACGTGCGACACCGTCACGAGGGGAAATAAATCTCTCGGCCGATAAACACTGCGACTGTCTAGCGGACTCATCAACTGCAATTTTCATCTTTTACTTGGCAGAATTTTTTATGGTTTTGAAGATTCTTTGGGGACTGATTTCTGGGGGTTCGGATTATGGGGAATAATCAAAGAATCTGTAGGTTCGAAAACCTTCTTTCTGAACGTATAGAACTTTTCATTTTAGAAAACTCGAGAACTTTTAGGGTATGATTTATAGGGGCTAAGAGGATAGTTGAAGTGTAATCGAAAAATCTATAGGATGCTTTTATTCCTTAACGCTGTAAATTTGGGTTAGAATTTTAATATCTTTCCTTGACAATGGTGAAGTCAGTTACTGTTAAAGAATGTAAAATCTGTTGAAAGTGAAATATAAATGAGATTATGCTTCAGTGGTGCTATAAGAAATTTTCCTTCTTTCTATATAATAATTGTATGTGAGGAATGAAGAGTTGAAAAGGGTAGCGAGAAACACTTTTCCAAAAATACACCGGACAATCCGATCATACACCTGTCTCCCATTCTCCGCCAAGCGAAGAATAAGAACGCAAATACGTCGAAGCACATGCGCGCGTCCCGCAATTATTCCTCCCAGGTGCAAACAATTCAATGACCGTCGGTGACGGCGCGGCGTCGCGCGACAATTTTCCACGAGAATTACACGCAAATCGTGTTTTTACGGGGCCGTTGTGCACAATGACCGATGAACAAGCGTGCGTCGTCACCCGTACAAAAGGCATATTGGCTAACTCGGTGCGTCGGATCCGCAAACTCATCGCGTTTAATGCGTCAGAATCCGTCGCGCGCGGTGATTCGTTTCGAAATAAAAGCGTCCTCGATCCGCGTGACCGTGCAAATTACGCGCGGGATTGAACGGGACGGTTCAAACGCACGGAAAATGACCGGACTCGCGGCAAGTTGTCAGGCCGGCGAAGGGGTGCGCCGAAACGCGGCCAACCCCCGCGATTCCGACGAACCGCCGCCCTTCATCGCCACTTGAGGATAAACAAGAGGGAATCGATGGACCGTAGAGGGTGGAATCGAGTGTCTGCGGAGAAAACGGGCGGTCTATAAATTCTTTTGTCATCGACGTCACTTCGATGGGACGTTTTTGCCGGTACATGGAAACGATGAAATCGTTTCATCCCTCTGTCGCTCGCGGCCGACGGGCCATTCGAAGTTTTATACTCGTGATCGACGTTGCACGTTTAATATTGTCATTCTGAAGCTGAATGCTCATACGTATTCATACATTCTCCGCATTGTTCCCTTGGATTGTCTATCAGATGTTTGATGCAGTTGTGCTACAGACATGAGACATCAAAGATATTGACTGCATTTAAAAGGTACTAATCTCTTCGTGTGAACAATACAATAACTACTAAATATTCTACACTGTATAATCAGAGTGTACTGCAAAATGTTAAACAATTACTCCATAATAATCTGCATACAGATTACAATAACTTCCGAAAACTTATATCTCAACAAAACCATATACAACATGTTCCTATAAACAAACCAACGTAATTACCATCTAATCTCAATCATCACAACCTGCATAAAAATTCAGTTTCTCTGGTCATCCATCTGAGAGCTACCATTTTGTGCAACAGTGGTGCCACATGCATCCTCCTCGCGGCAGAATCAGAAGAAAACAAATCGGAGTAGACTTCACTGAAGAAAGGGTTAGGTAGGCAGAAGGAGGGGCTGACAGCGAGCAGCGAGTGGTATCGAAGAGAGAAGTCACTTTCTTATTTCCATTCTCGGCAGCGTTCTTTCGAATTCGACTCGGCAATACCGGCGGCCACCATCTCGCTGCGTCCCACCTTCCTTCAGTGACGAGCCCCCACCACGCATGGGCTGGAACAGTCGGTGCCCGTGGTGGTGGCAGGTTGGCGGCAGTGGCGTCGGCGGCAGCGGCTCTACCTGGCCTCTAACTCGTCCACCCCCACGGCTTCTCCTCTTTCTTTCGTTCGGCTTGCTTGTTTTCCGACTCCTTCCAGGAGGCAGAACCCAACCCCCAAGGTACACGGGCGCACCGATGCTGCATTATGCGGACGCTAACAGGTCTCCATTATTGGTGGGAAGCAGAAATTATTGCTGAGAAGTTCTTTCCTTGCCGCTCCTCTCACTGGCTTACTACGATCTTCGGAGTAGAATCTCACCCTTCCTTTTATCGATTCCTGGCGCTTGTGCACTCGATCCTACGCAGGGAATTTGATAATCCGATAACACCCAGAGGCCTGTAAGCTGAGGATTTGCACCTAGTACTAGGCACATATGACAGACTTCTTTTTTAGACGTGGTTGGAGTAATTTGTGATTTATTGTGTTCCGTTAGGTTTCTATGTATTCTAGTGGAATATTTATTCAATGTGGGTCATTGTTTTTGGTGTTAAAAGATTATACTCAGTGATGGAAGTTAGAGTTATCCGTCGTTAAGGTATCAAGCGTTACGTTGTTACGCTAGGATTTATAAATTGGAAAAAATTACTCTGCCTGAAGATAATTAATACAATAAAGTTAATAATTGATTCGTGAAAGAAGATATTGGGGAACATGTACAAATAAAAGCAAAGAACAATTACATAACTGTTATTTTCTTGGAGTATGTTGATGCTATGGCCAATGAAGACAATCGAAGATCTGAACGTATTGTTTCCACAGGTGAACGAAGACTCATTTCCCACTATCGCGGGCGAGATAACACGACATTGTAAATTCAACGGTGCGTGAAGAATAGTTCATTGGAGCGATTAGGGGAACATCAACACCTTGTCTTTCTTTCTTCATGTAATCCGACACTCACTACCGTTTTCGGCAGCCGAAACAAGGATATCAGGTTTCGGGACGCTTGAGCGTGTCCCGTGGACACGCTATATCGCTTTCAGGAATTGTGCATCGATGCGAAGTGTTAAATGGACACAAACAGATCGGTCTTCATTAGAACTGAAAGTGGAGGTATCTTATCTATCCATTATTCATTCGACGAAAAAAAATTCGATATGATACGAATCTATCGTTCAATCTCCATTACAATTCTGAACACAATATTTCCTACAGTCGTAACTGACATACGAATTCATAATACTCTCATTAATAATTTCCAAATTTTCCTCATTTTTCCTTACTCTCTTTGCCCAGCTTACTAGCTTCAAACAAAACAATATTTACATTTCAATATTACAGTTCCTTTTCACATTGCAAATTAAAGCTGCTCTCCTATAATCTCCACACACCTCCAGTTTCCAAATAACAAAATCCTACCAGAAAATTCCATTCGCCCAAAACCAAGCTCAAAACTAAAAAAA